GGGTCTCATACTCAGAACCAGAACTGAACCTGCAGAACCAGGCAGGTTAATGGACCAGAACCAGAACCAGGGGTTCATTCAGAACTTCAAGCTTTTATTCTCTCCAGTGTCAGACAAAAATGTCTTTTGTTTCAGAGACACAGAGGACAGACAGAGGACAGCTGCAGGTCCTGCTCGGCTCCTTATCTCTGCTGGAATGTTGGTTGTCGCTGAGGGACGAAGATAAAGAGACATAAATAGATCCTGGGGGACGGAGGGAGACGAGTCCACACTGTGATATCAGTCCTTCAGTCCATCAAACTGATTCCAGTTCCTCTTCATCTTCTGTTCTGTTTCCACAGAACCAGAACCACCGATCTGGATCCGGCCCAACGGACCTGATCAGAAAGTTGCAGCACTGGGTTGGGTCCAGATCTCCAGTGGAACCAGAGGAATCGGTCCTGATGGACGTCTGGGTGTGAAATGGTGGAGAAGAACCAAACCTCTTCTGTGATTGGTTGGGATGGGCAGGGGGCGGGGCCTGGGTCTGGTTCTGATCCAGTCAATCACATTACTGGGTCAGAGCGGCAGCAGACTGGTTTCATCCCAGTTTGTTCCTGGACCAGAACTCTCCAGGGTTGCTGGTGGAGTCCAGCCGGGTTCTGGGCTCGGCCCGATCCGCTTTACTGAGGTTCTGCTGATGATACTCAGATTTATCTATAATCCAGGTTAATCCAGCCTGTTAGCAGATTACAGACATTAACACCTGGATGGCTCCAAACTTCCTGCTTTAAGTTCTGACCCGACTGTTTCTGGACCAGAACCTCTGAACAGAACCTGATCAGTGGATCACTGATCTGATCAAGTAAAGAAGCTCTGAGTTATTTTAACCAGGATGTCATTGAAATCTCAGATTAAACCGATTTCCTTCCTTCAGAAATGATCAACATCCTGTCCGGCAGTGGAACTGATAATCTATAATCTATAATCTGATCCATGATGATGATTCTTCATAATCCAGTTAAAATCCTTCATCTGATTCAAAACGCTGCAGCAGAAACTAAAAGCAGAGATCAGATTCTGCTGCTCAGCTTCCCTGATAATCCAGATTATAATCTCACAGAGAAACCCTCAATAATCAGGTTCTGACCGGTTCTGATCGGTCCACAGCTTCCAGCAGAACCGTATGGTACCACAGTGCTGGTTCTGCTTCTTACAGCTGTCCGGAGTTGTGCTGAGTCGTTTCTGTAGTCATGATGCTACAGGACAGACGGACTGTCACTGTAACCGAAGCTCCACCTGGTCTGCGTTCTGATTGGCCGATTCCTTCCTGGAGGCGGGGCATCAGCTGGCATGATGCTGCCATCACCTGATCCTTCTCCTGATCCTTTGTGTCTCTGCTCTGATTTCTCCAACCTCCAGTCAGTCAAACGGAGGGCTGCTGGTTCTGGTTTCTTCCTTTTAAAGGGGAGTTTTGCCTGTGCACTGTCGCCCCCTGCTGGTCCGCAGTGATTTTGCTGCTTTTCCTTAGAAATAAATGGAGCTCTGAGCACCGGACCGGCCTGGACCGTACTGGACTGGACTGGGCCGGACTGTTCTTGTCAGTAAAGACCGCTGAGCGGAGTGTTGCTACAGCCTGAATCTGTTTATCTGACCCAATGGATCCTGCCGGCGGTTCTGGTTTATCTGGTTCTGATTTATCTCCTGCTGCTATTTCAGTTTTCTTCCATGTTTGGTCCTCGGCTGTCTCTCTCTCTCTCTCTCTCGCCCATCTGCAGCGGCTATAAACCGGCCCGCGGCGCCTCGCCTCCATCTGCGGCGCAGCATGGCTCCAAAGAAGGTAGAGGCCAAGAAAGCGGAGGTGAAGAAGGTGGAGGCCAAGAAGGAGGAGGCGGCGCCCCCGGCCAAAGCCCCGGAGCCGGAGCCCCGGGCCCCGGAGGTGGACCTGCGCAGCGTGGTGGTGGAGTTCAGCCCGGACCAGGTGGAGGAGTTCCGGGACGCCTTCTCCCTGTTCGACGAGACGCCGGGCGGCGAGATGAAGATCAGCTACGCCCAGTGCGGCGACGTGCTGCGGGCGCTGGGGCACAACCCGACCAACGACGAGGTTCTGAAGCTGCTGGGCCGACCCAAAGCCGAGGAGATGCACGCCTCGCTGCTGGACTTCCAGGCCTTCCTGCCCATGCTGCAGCACGTGGCCCGCGCCAAGGAGCAGGGCAACATGGAGGACTTCGTGGAGGGGCTGCGCGTCTTCGACAAGGAGGGCAACGGCACCGTGATGGGGGCGGAGCTCCGCCACGTCCTGGCCACGCTGGGGGAGCGCATGACGGAGGACGAGGTGGACCGGCTCATGGCGGGCCAGGAGGACGCCAACGGACACGTCAACTACACCGAGTTCGTCAAGCACATCCTGGCTGGGTAGCAACCAGCGGGGGAGGGGCCACGGCGCTGCGCCTTAATAAAACACCTACAGGTCTGGCTCTGTGTGGTTTCTGTCTCCTGAGTCCTGGTTCCGGTCCATTTCTGGTTGTTTTCTCCCTCAGACTTTCAGTCTCTGTTGCTCCATTTGTGGGTTGTAGGAGCCGCAGCTGTAGGGGCCCCGGTTGTAGGAGCCGCAGCTGTAGGGGCCCCGGTTGTAGGAGCCGCAGCTGTAGCAGTGTCAGTCTTTCCACACTTCCACCTCAGGAGACTCAGTGGGTCCAACTGGTAGTTTTATTCAAAAGTCAGGTCTGACATCAGAAACCTCATCATCTAATTCAGCTCATTGAAATAACTTGTATAAGATTTTCTTAAATCATTAGTCACAAGATCGCAGCTTTAAATGTTTCCTGTTTCTTAGTTTAACACCAAACACTTGGAGACATGAGCAGGAAACCCTCAGGGTCTTCAGGGCTCCATGGAAAACTACGCACAAAAATTATGCTGCGCCATATTTTATGCACAAGTCGGCATGTAAATCAACTTGGTGTCAAAGTTTCTGTAAATATATGCAAACTTTTGTGGACAAAAATAAACTACAGAGTCAAAAAGGTTATGTATTATAACCCCAGTTCAAGGTTATCCCTAGTGGGTTAACGGTGAAGCAGGATGTGGTCTGCGCCTCACTGGGTCCATCCAGACCACCATCTGCTCACATATAACAAAAACAGTCTCAGCCTACAGTGGCTCTCCTGGCCTCCCATACAGCAGAAGACCAGAGAGAAGAACATCTGGTCAGAAAGTTGAGACAAACAGACCTGCTACTGCGAACAGGAACGACCAACAGAACAGGAACTTAAACTTTGGACAAACATGTTGTTCTCAAATGCTTTGAAAATAAACGAGACAAAAATAATTATTCTGTCAGAACTCTGAGGACAGAATGGGTCAGAGAGAACATGGAAACATGACAGGTAGAACCGAACAGATGACCCAAGTAAAAAAACAGGCTTTAGTAGACTTTGATGTACTTAAACTATTTTAGAACAACTAATTTTGTACTTAGTATACTTTAAGTGTAATATTCAACAGCTTCATTTTTATATTGAGTGTACTAATTCTGTCAGAATTATATTTATTTAATATATTTTAAATATACTACTAATATATAAGTAATGTATTTAAATTACACTTAATTTTGAGATTTGATTTACTGCTATTGCTAATAAAGTACAATTTTAATTACTCATAAAAGTCTTCTTTATCCCTACTTTCCTATTTTGTACATTACATGCATAACTACACTACAGTACTTACATTGTTTTATGCTACAATTACATGGAAAGATTAATTACACAAGATGTTCAAGGTAATTCAAATATTTTTTATTACAGACATTTTAAAATTGTCCAATTTTACTCACAACTTTATGAACTTTACATAAATTATCAGTTTACACATCAAAAGTGAACACATGAACGTGAAAATTTAAGTGTGACAATAAAACATGAAAGTGAGGATCAACGACAGAACATTCCCGTTCACTGCACCTTACAGAAACCAACAAAAAGAACAATAGAGCAATTAAACAGAGAAAGCATTTGTATTTAAAGAGAACAGAAAAATGGCAAATAAAAAAATAATACTTACAATTTTAAGTCGTTGTTGACTCGCTGTGTATGTGACATCATCAGAAGTGATGATGATTGGGACCAGATGCCTTGTGTGGAAAATCATTTCTGGGTGTCTTTTTTGCCTGTTTATGTTAGAAGTAGAAAAAAATAGTCAGCAATGTCATAGAATCAGTAGATGTTGGCATTAACTATGAAACTGTTTTAAGTGTGGACTTAAGGAGACAAACTACCTTAAAATCTTTCCATCCATGATCTGAACACACTGATCCTAGCAGGGTGGTGAGGGGGGCTGGTGGTGCCCATCTCCAGCAGTCATCAGATGAGAGGCAGGGTTCACCCTGGACAGGTCACCAGTCCATCACAGGGCCCTGAAAGCCAACAATGAATAAAATGCATGAAAGAGAAATGTTAGATTAACAAGGGGAAAAATTCTGTCCAGTTTCCTTCAAAGCAAATCATGTTTATTAAGCCCTTGGTGTTGGTAACAGCAGCTTTTGTTGTTGAAACTGTAGCCAGCTCCTCATTGAAAAAACAAACTTCCACCATGAAGACGATGTGGAGGTTCATCCTCAGAGCTGGTTGGTGATCTGGTGGAGCAGAGCTGCTTC